TGGGATGTAGGGTAGGGTTAAAGTTAATGTTGGGACTAAGATGCACGTTTATTTTAAGCTTTGTGTTAGGGTAAGGATGTGGCAATATTTACCGTTAGCTGAATTATACACAGGGCTACTTTGATTACCTGGCCGAGGCATTGCTACCCCTGTGTTCTTTTTAGTGGGTCATGTGAGTACTCCTTGCCAAAATATGATTTTTCTCACTAAAAAACTAAACTAGTTTCGCTCTAGCGGAGGAAGAAGCTCAATCGAAAGTCTTAGGAAGTTAGCACATAAAAGAAGCTGTATGAGAACACTCCGCGTGAGAAAAAAAACATGCTAGAGCAGCCAGCACGCAAAGATGAAGGAGGTCCGCTAGCTGCGTGATCTTATCACCAAATGCTAGCGTTCCCTCCGAAAGATACATAACTAAAGGCAATGGCCTGGCAGGAACATAAACATGGTTTGTATTGCCCTACAGCTAAAACGTCTCGAAGGTCCAAACAACGCACAAGGTTCGCCACCTCGAGACTGAGCGTTTTTCACTAATCACGGCCCGCCACGTTCGTGTGAGAGCTAAATGTCACCTTTCTCTTTTTGCTCACAATGTAGCGCCTAATCGTGCCTAATCGATTTTGTTGTAAGTTCGGATGAGGCCAAGCGCAGCTTGTCCGAGGGGCCGAAATCAAGTCGCAAATCGATATATCGATCGTCACGCTTGTAGCTGGATTTTGCCTGGCCTGGATGGAAGACACAACCATACTCAGACATGGCGATTTCTACGGCGATCGATGCAGCCATCTGCCAGCTGTTGCGAGATCCATCGAGGTTATTAGTTTGCCTGTTTGGACTGAATTAATAAATGGTTGGCCCTCTCGGGTGAAGATCTCTGGGGTGGAGAGATAGCAACCGAAAAGCTGATTAGATCTGGAAGCAGCTAACAACGCAAGAGGAAAATTATTAAGCTGGGTAAATTGTAGGTTCTGTGATCTAAATATGTTGAGGACAAATGGACGAGGCCGAAAGACGCTGTACACGTCACTGCCACGGAATTTTTCGAAGGATTCCAGCCCTGCTGTTCAGAAATAACCATATTCACAGGGTGTATGCGGATATTTGCGTCGACACAAAAAGGCTGTGTTCAGTTGATACAGACGTCAACTGTGTCAAAGACTGCTGGAGGTAAAGGATTAGTGGGTCAAATGGAACCATTTGGTCGTTAGCGAAGTCATAGATTCGGAAACTATCTAACTACCCTCTTAATAATTATTTATATTGGCCCCTAAACGAGACATTATAACTGGATCCGCCCGCAGTAAAGCCGTTTCTGCGTCAAATTCATGGGAAATAAGATCAAATTTATGATAAATGTTAAGATTAGGTTTATGGTAAGGTTCAAGGTTAACTTTACGGTAAGTTAAGGTTAAGGTTAGGGTTAGTGTTTACTGTAGGTTAAAGAGAGAGGTTTAGATTGCTGTAAGGGCTAGTGTGCGAGTTAAGACGTGGAGAGCATTCATCCTTCTTGGGATTATGCGCATAATCAAATTTATCCCTCGGACAGGGCGTTCCCTTTTCCCATGTCCCCGTTTAAAGGGACCATAAAAGCAATATTTTACGCACGCTTTATGAAGGCCATCAGTCACCTCCCCCCCCGTTAGCCTGCGAATGAACCCTCAAGTGAGCACCAAATGGATGAAATGGATTTCCACAGCTGCAGTTATCTAGCAGCAAAGTCTCGGGTGCAGACATGATTCTGACAAAAATCTTCGATTACGGTAGGATCTGCTTGCTGAAATAAGGAGCGAGGTTTAGGACGAATAGCGTAGGATTTCAAGGACTGCTCTGCTTCCCAAATTAAACTGCGAAAAGAAGAATCCGCGACCATTTCTGTGGACTCTTGTCCGAAGTCTCCTTAGTCGCCACTCGGAGGGTAAAACATTATTTTGGAGACAAAATTTTAATGCTGGAGACACTTCGAAACAGAAGGCCTTGCATGAAAATGCCAAAAAATAAAAGCCAGCCTCCACAGTGCCGTCGACTTTAACACCGGGAAGCAGAGCTTATTCCACAAAATGATATTGGAAATCCGATACCCTGAGTGACTTGTAGTAATGGTCATGACAGTAGTGACGCTCTGGTGGGATATTTCTAGCTCACCTAATCTCGTGTGTCAATGTGGTCCGTACCAATTTTATGGTCGTCAGTCATTAAGGGCGCCTTATTTCTATGCTAATGCAACTTCCAACTTAATAACTGTCTGCATAAACTATCCGATCAAGCTAACCGGCATGTCCTTGTGATGTCTGCGGTCCTGGTGGCGAATGGCATGGATGGAGCAATCTTTAATTGCATGCGCCTATATCTGCTCAGTCTGAACGTTATTCCATTGGTGTCATAGCCAAGTCAAG